CACAAGAGATCCTCCTTCACAGTGATTGCTCCATACCAAATATTTGGCCGCAGGTTCCCACCAGGAATCGAACTTTCCACCCTACTGCTGAAAACAAGATAATATTGATTGATCCACCAGTTGAGCTGTGCCCCGGAGGGCTAATTTTAAGGTTTGTTTGATACATTTTGGGTTGTTGAAGAAACACGCTTCAACATATGATCAATTTGTCTAATTAATTATTATTATTATAATATTGCTCTTCTCATCTCATCTCATCTCATCTCATCTAGTAGTTTAATTGTTATTGAAGATTTACATTTATTTATTTCTTTAAATTTAATTTTTATTAGGAATCATCACGGGTGACTTTTTTCTATCTTACCACTTGACAATAGCAAATTTTTCTATAGCGTTTCTTAAATAAATTAAAAGAAGTAAATTTGTAATGTGACAGAACATGCTTGGAGAAATCAAATTCCTTCAAATAGTCAACGATGATTTAAAAACACATTGAAAAACCGCGATATATATTTCCAAAACAAAATACACGCGCTATATTTTAAACCACAACAAGAACCTAAAGAGAAACTACAGCATGTAACAGTAGGCTTATTCTGCATGCAGCACTCACCGGTACAAGATAAGATTTTAACTTCTGTTACTTTCTATTTTTCAGTACTGTATGGTCTGCTTTACCGAACTAGCCAACGTTATTATATTAGGAGAAGATGAAAGAAAGGGAAAAAGAAGATGAAAGACAGCAGAAAACAAGAACGCCTACTTGTGAACGCTTTCTTCTTTGCTGAAGAAATCTACTTCTGAATCTTGACTGTCTTGAGAAAACTCTTTTCTTCTTCAAGATTATTCTTGGAAATGAAATCCAAGAAGTCATTGAAACTGCTTTCTTTATATCCCTTTGGGTGCTCTTCATCCACAAGCTCTTTTGCAGACTCCATTTTCACATCCATCCCCAAACTATGTAAACTAGAAATGGATATTCTTGCCTTTTCATTATTAAGAGTCACCCTGTGTACAACACTTTTATACCTTCCATTACTTAAAACCTCAAGATAATCCCCAACATTTACTTGTAGGGCACTACGAACTAACGGAATTAACCTCCATGATCCGTCGCCTAAGTCACGTATTTCGAGACCATCGGCTGAGTTTTGGAGGACAATTGTTATGCAGGTGTAATCGGTATGCGGTGGAAGGCCTAATGCAAGTTCTGGTTGTGAGCATCTTGGATAGCAGTTGACAAACATTACTTGCATTCCATCATCAAGTTTCGTGGTCAAGTATGTTGGACCTAGTCCTAGGCTCTCTGTTATGGCACCCATGATATCTATAGCCATTTTTTGCACTGCCACTGCATAGTCTCCCATTTTCTGTCTGTCATAGTAACATTCAAAAAGTAATTAATAGAACATTAAAACAATATATGTAACAAAAGTAAAATCTTCCTATACTATTGTTTCACCACATAAGCAGGACAAAGCATGTTGTCACGGACTCCCTTTTTATATTAGTCATTTCACAATTATGAAATCAAATTCATTAAAAATGATTATTGTCAACTAGAGAAATATTTGTCGTTGACAATGTAACTCTGGTTTATACTTGTCTTGAATGTTTAGATAGTTGATGATCTAAAAGGGACCCGAGACAATGGATTTGAACTAATGGTTAGATAAAGATTACATCAGATCCAGTGGTTTTAAATAAAAAGTCATTTGGGCAAGTGGCAACTCAAATTCTGGGTCGAAATGCGGCAGGTGATGTCTGGTGGCTTGAATTCTATTTGTCTGAGCAACTCATCTATACACACTATAAAGTATAACGAACCTAGATTTTAATAGTTTATTAAAAACCAATCACCTGTATTCAGGTGGATTGTTGGGCCACAGATGTACCCATTCCTTCAAAGGATGTGCATACTGTTTGAGAAAGACCCTCCAAAATTGGACCTTGTCCAGTCCGTCTTGTATGCTTGTGCCATATCTAACCGGCTCATGCACTTCATTAGACATGAATTTTTCCTTCTCTTTAGTTGGTAAGTCGAAAAAACGAGCGGCGGTAGAAATAGCTCCATCAAGTATTGGCTGGGATATCCCATGATTAATAACCTATACATGCATATTAATGCCATTGAACACATAATCCTGCTTTACGTACAGTTTGGATGATATTTTGAAGAGGTATTTTCAAAAATGTTTAATTTCATGGGTGTCAATTGACCACTTTTTAAATTTAGCACTAAATTTTCTATTATGCCCTTTATGAAAAAAGAAACAATTTATTTATTTTTTCAATTTGTTGCGGATTTCGAGAAGTAGCTTCCATGAGAAGCTACATTAAAATGATGTTCTTGACATTTCAAATATCGTTCTTGATATTTTAAATGTCATTTTCGATATTTGAATCCCGTTTATATTTTAAAAGTACACATGTAAATCACAATATTAAATGTTCTCGACATTTTAAATCTCTAGAATCACATTTCATTCCGAATATGACAATTCTCTACACTTGAAATGTAATTCTTGACGTTTCTATGTTAATGAGAAAAATAACATTAATTGTGATTTGACATGTACACTTTTGAAATAAATATGGCAGGTTATGTGTCAAAAATTTATTGGCCAATAAAATTTTTGCAAAAATGTCAATTTCTTGTTTTTGTGTGGAATCATAAATTGTTCATGGGGGTATTTTGGTTCAAAATATTCCAAAATAGACATTTTTGTAAAGATTTGTAAAAGTGGACATTTCAAGCAATTTCCTCTATTTTGAATGACAGTCTCAACAAAAAAAAGTTGGAGACAGTGAGAAGTTTGGATGATAATTTTCATTTTCCCGCCAAAAATTCACAAATTCGTGAATGGATTTCATCCCAAAATGTACAGAAAGCATAATTCTTGAACATATGAAAAAGGCTAAGTGTACAACACCTCCCTCTAACAAAATGTGGGACCCATGATTATTTTAATCGCGGGCCCCACCCCCAATGTAAGAGAACTGTCATAGTTCCTGTCAAAGCATCTGTACCTATAGCAGCCTTGGGTTGAACTCTAACCTTAAGGGTCCCCCACCGCCCCTACCCTGAAGTATCGTGAGGAAGGTAAATCGCAGGTTATGCCTCTAAGAGTATAGGGTGGAAGGCTGCTTGTACACTTGTACTTACCCAAGAGCCAAATCCATATTTCAGAATTCGAACCCTTGACGCGACAGCCTCAAACAAAGCTAGATTTCTCCACCCTCCCCTTTTATCACTTGGAGATGTGCCCCAGGGGCATACCTATAGCAGCCTTGTGAACATATATGCATGTTTATTCATCATGTGCATTTACAACAAATAATATGTGTACGTCTTTAATAATGGGGCCTATTTAGCGTCCGTTTGGCCCCATTCATTCACATTTTGCATATTCAGTTTCAAAATAAGTGGGCTGGCCGTGTTTGAATAAAGTGTGTATTGATGACCAAAACAAGGGCGATTTTGACTTCTAAATCCACTGTATATGTCCAAAAAAGTTATTGATTTTCAATTTTACCCTTTCATTACGTTTTTCCACACCGCAATTCTTTTAAGTTGGTGTGGGGTAGTAATGTAATTTTGACTTGTATAAGAGGGTAATAGCGTCCACCCTGCTTCCAATGGCAAAGTTGATATTTATCCGTGTCTAATAAAATTGTCCTACATTTACAATTTTTAATGGTTATGTACTTATGTTCATGTAGCAAAATATAGAAAGGCTGAATAATCTCATTAAAAAGCTTTAAAAAAATTTCTATATCTTATGTTCATGTAGCAAAATTGAGATTCAACCAAAGGCTTTAAAAAATTTCTATATCTTTTGGTTTCGCTTGACTCTGGTTTCTCGTACTGCATTGCAATAAATGATAGTAGTTTAGGATAGTTACTAAATGACATTTGCAATTCATTACAAGGGTTCCAAGTAACCCAAATAACTCAATTAAGGGGAGCTAGATTTGAAGGTTCGGGAAAAGAGTTTAAACTTTTAAATTAAGCGGTCATTCAAGATGCAATACGTGTTATTCGTGAAAGTTATAATGAAAATTTTGAACTTACTTGAAAGAAGCCGCTATGTTTACAAGCATTTCCAATGTCTTGTACAACCTTTATTCGACGCGTAGGATCATCACACATCCCTTCCATGTCGATAACTGGGATATCCGCAATCTCCGTGTTGGGACGAGGCCTATCGAAAGGCTGCAGTTTATAGAATTCAGAGGCATGAGAATACCTCTTCTCTTGAGCGGTTTCACCTATAGGAAAAGAGCTTGAACTCTCATTGTTTTTCTTCATTTCAAATGAAATATATGGAATAAATAATGCAAGTTGAGAATGAAACACAGCGGTGGTGTTTTGGGGTATTTATAGTAAGTTCTGAAAGATTGTTTAACAAAAGCAAATTCATAAAAGAGCCAATATTAATCTGCATCAATTTTAACCAAATGGGTGACACGAGCAGAAATAATAACTTATGCAGATAAGCCAAAAATAAACTTTGTTGGATATTGGTTAAATAAATCGAGAATTGAAAATCGATTAAAGTTCGTATCGACTTCGGCCAAATACTCAAAAGCTCGACTCAATCCGTTTAGGCAAAATTGTTTGTCACTTCGCCGCTTCGGGGCGCACAAACGGGGATCGACCTGCATGTATTGAAGGGTATATTTGGCATTTCGAAAACCAATATCGAATGAATGAGAAATTACGAAAAAGGCCTCAACCATTAGTGAATAGACACCTTTTCATAAAGGTGCATTGTTTGGAAAGGGTGCATGGTTTGGCCTCAACCATTTCGTCCACACCCTTTCATGGTCTATAAGTAGGACCCTTTGGGTGTCCTATTCCTTACAGTTTGATATGCAAAAACGTCTCTCATCCTCTCTTCTATCCAAAATCAAAATCATTTCATTTATTTTGATTTTCTTTCATTTCATCCTTGGAGTACATAAGCCTACATTTGGTTCGTTGTACTTGTGTTTTGGAGTGCTACAAACACAAGTGTAGCCGTTGTATCTTGGGAGTCGATTGTCGAAATCCGTAGGCACCGTTGCGGGGCAAATTTGACTTAAGGACAAAGAGTCCAACTCTTGCCTCGACTTTGTCACCATCATTATACTTATTTCGACGTCACTATTCACAAAATTCTTCCAACAAACTTTTCAGTATAGAGACCAGGCCGTTTTGTGTACACGTTGTTACGACGTCGTATATGCATCGATTGGATGCGTTGGAAATCTTGTGCGCCGTTGGAAATTTTGTATACACGTTGTTACGACTTTGAGCCACTTGTATGAATGATAAGAGGTGGGCAGTGGTATAAACTTTGGGCCAAAGGACAGGATGCATCATGCATGCGTACTTTGGTACATGAATATGAAATAATCTGTGTTTCTTTTAGTTAATCTTCTTGAGTCATGTCTGGAAGTTTAGATTCGTTCTCAAATTTGACGTCCCCAGAATCCAGATACATTTTTAACATATCAACACGATCTTTTAACAAATGAAAAGATGTCAAGGTAATCTTGACAACTCGACAAATTATACTTTGAAGTCTCCCTATTTGTTTTTAAGAAGTGATTTGCCCATATTAAAAAAAAAAAATGTATTGAGGACACCTAAAAGGATAGAATGATGCTATTTGCAGTCACTTACTATCACAGTCATCTTATGTAACATACATGTGGTGATTATTGATTTGATATATGATGCAATAAAAAATTACCATATTAATACATTAAATCACAATGTGCCATGTAGGATGTGAGCGACTATGAATAATATTACTCAAAATGATAAGTTCTTAACAATATTGCCCGCCTTTTTTTAATAGCAAAGCTAGACTTACAGAAAAAATGGTACAGAACCTTTAAAGAATACACACATACCAGGATGCGTGGAGTGGCGGATCCAGGAAAAAATTCAACAAGGGCTAATACATATAAAAAAAAAATATTGCACATAAAAATAAATTACTTAAAATTTTTTTTAATGGACATTTGGGTTGAAGGGGACGGGCTAGGCCTATGGGTGGGTGGTCATTTTTTTGCAATATTTTAATACACACGGGGTCCACCGGATGTGAGGGTCTATAATTTTTCTGTGGAAAATAATTCTATATATTCATTTTTTTCCTTTTTTTTAATTAGTTCTCTCCTAACATCCCGTGGTCCGAGAACAATTAGCTTATCCATGTTTTGTCCCTCGTCAGCCAAGAATGAAAACATCGGAAACTCGCATCTCCACCGACCTTTCAGTTGCTTGATTCTTTGATTAAATGTTGTATGTTCCAAGGCACTTTCAGGTATATTTAAAAAAAAAAAAAAAAAAAAAATCTATTGCAACCATTGAACCAACCTCCGCCCAAATTGTTTTCAATCCCCATTTTATGCTTTATCGTGTGAAATAAATAAAACAATATTTGAATGATGAGAAATGATATTGATGCTACCAAAAGATATCACTTGAAAATCTCGAGCTTGATGACTGGGATGGAACACGAACTGCGCCTTCCAGTACTTGAAACAAAGGCAACGAGGTGTGTGCTCGTCGTCCCTCCGATACTTAAGTCAGACAGGGAATTTTATGCGTGAGGCTATAAATTGAGGATAATAATGAAGAACGTACCTTTGGAATGAGCACGGGTTGTGTATTTATACGTGTTAGTGGTTGAGTCCTAGGAGGACTGATTCTGCCACAATCCTTCTCCTCGTAGGAAAAGAGTTGGTGTTTCACCTCGTGTATTCAAATCACCGTTTGAGTCAAAGAAGGAGTCTAAGAAGGTAGGGATTGTGTTCAATGTAGAATTAGTGCTTCCATAGGTCACATATGGAAGTTGACGAGTCAACACATCCACCCCGACTTCAAGTACCCGAGCTGGTTTTGGTGTTTTTAGATGATGATAAGGTCGGGGTTGTAGGATGTGATCGGGGTTCAATACTAACGAGATCTGGAATCATCACTGGCCCCCGTGCATCGAGGTCGTAGAGGCCGTTTCATTCTGGTCTACGAGCGAAGATGTAGAGGCACGAACGTCTTGATGTTTCTCCACGTGTCGAGTGTTGGATGGGATGTCAGTGAACGATCTCAGATGGTCGCCACGTGTAATGTCAAAGCACGACCTTAGATTCTCGCCACGTGTCTTGGTCCAAGGGGTGAGATTGCATGACAGTTGGTATTCCTCAGTCCCCTATAAATATCCCAATTTTCACTCTCATTTTTTCACTTTTAACTCTCAACTCCCAGTAAATCGAGCTCGAGTTTGGGGATTAGTAGGGTTTGTGAACGACTATCCACAGAGGTAAGAGTTCGAGCCCTTAAGTTGTTTTATTTGATTATAGCATAATGTCGAGTAGTGGTAGCACAGGGTCAAGTAGTAGTGACAGTAGTCAGGCTCCTAGGGACTCGAACCATAGTGATAGGCCTGAAGATGTAAATACATCCATTATACCTATGGCCATCCCCATTAACTCCCATAGCGACGTCATGACCTATCCCAAGGAACTGACTAAGTATAAAGAACATGTATTTATTAAAATAGCTAGAGAGTTCGGGGTCATGCCAATTTGCGATATTTGAACCTCAGGGCCAACTGAGACCGTGTTAGGAGCTCGAGAGGGGGAGATGACCTTTTTTAGGGATGCTCTTAAGGCCGGGCTTAGGTGGCCTCTTCACCCATTTTTCATTCATTTTTTGACCTCATACTACCTGTGTCCGGGTCAACTAGCCCCGAACGGTTGGAGGTTATTAGTGTATTTCTTCATACTATGTAGATGTCTCGAGGTTGAGCCTAGGGTCGACCTACTTCGAATGGTGTTTGATATGAAGTTTTCCCCGGGGTATAACTGTTTTGTTTATTTATCAACAAAGGGGGGGTTTAGAACTCCTGATACCCCGAGCTCACTTAGAGGTTGGAAGGAGCGTTTGTTTTTTGTGAAACCTCAAGACCTCAATCATCCATTTAGCTCGAGGTGGGAAATCCCTGACAAAGATAGGTTTAATGAAGGTCAGGCCTATTTTGAGGTTTTAGAGAGAGATAGGCTGAGATTAGTGAACCACGACCCCCTTGTAGACAAGATCGATTTCTTGTTTGAAGACGACACCCTCGACCTTGCTAACGTGAAAGGCCTCGAGGGTACGATATTTCTTTTTATGCATTATTTGATATTTCATGGATAATCATTGACCTATAGTTCGAGCTAATGCCTTTACATTTTTGCTTGTAGAATTCGAGATGTCTTTCGATCCATCAGCCCTCTTGGACAACATTCATAAAAAGGCCAAGGGCCAGAAGTCAAAAGCCTCAACAACGGCTTCGTCCAAGGGGAAGGAGCGGGCACGGGAGGCCGTCCGTCCAACCATGGTGGATTTGGGACAGAGTTCACAAAACCTGACCCCTTCGAAGCAGCCAACCCCTCAACCACAAGTCCGAGCTCGAACCCCTTGTCATGGGTCGGACCTCTTGGCTGATGATGACGACCATATGCCCACGAAGTCACTCGAGGAGTACGCTGAATGTGCTCTTATTCAGGGCATAGTTGATAAATATGAGAAGGAGGTCGATATAAACGAGGGAGTTCGGACTCTAGAGCTCCTTACACTGAAGGTACGTTGTTAATATGAATGCTCGTGTAGCCCTGATCGGTTTCGTAATTTGTACTCACGTCGAGCTTTATACATGTTTTTGCAGACACTAAGCGTCGCTCGAGGTCTTGGGCTCAAGGGTTTGAATTCTTCAGATCGCATAGCCGAGCTCGAAGTCAAGAGCGAGGTTGCGTTCAAAAGGGCCAAGGAGCTGGAAAAGGCCCTGGAGGCGGCCAAGGTAGACCTCAAGAAGGCGGAGGACGAGGTCCAGTTTGCAAGGGGCGAAGCAGAGGAAGCGAAGCTCGAGCTCATTCACTCGCGAAGCTCTTTTGAGGCGGAGCTTGCGAAGGTTCAAGCTGAAACCCGAGCTCAGGCCATCGATGACTTCAAGAAGNTGACTTCAAGAAGTCTGATGAGTTCAAGACTCTCCTGGGTCAGTATGGGTCTGGCTCGTACTACTATGGTTTGCGGCTAGCTCAGTCATTCCTCAGGACGAAGCTCCCCGAGGATTTGAAGCCTATAGTGGAGGAGTTAAAGACTGTGAACGAGCTCGCTAAGGACCTTGAGCTATCCTCCTCCGAGGGTGATGGAGACGATGAGGATGACGATGCTCCGACAATGGAGGGGGTAGTGACCACATCGACCTAGACTAGACCTTTCCCGACCCCGAGTTTTGTAATAATTTTTCTTTTGCTAATGTTGTCTGTCCGATC